AGATTAAAGTCAGAATTCTGACTTTTTTCCCATATTAAACTGAAATAAAATGTAAAAATCAGTAATTTTTTTTCTCCCAGTAGCCCTAATCCTTTCCTGACTTCTGGTTTTATTGGGTTTTTCTCATTTTCCCTCATATTACATCCATTCAGCTCAAAAAGCTGCAATCAGCTCTACATATTTTCTTTTTCTTTTCTTTTTTTTTTATACAGCTGTAGTATCTGGTTCTTCGGAAGTGAACCAAGTCTCACATTTCCTAAATAAGTACTAATCTGATTCAGATACCTCCTTAAAATCTAAAATAACGGGACAGAGCAAACCAAGCTTGCCATCATGGGCCTCCAAATATTACTTCATTTTCTTTTTTCTTTTCCCATAAAATGTGCCTAAACACTTTAAAAAATATTAATAAAACTGAAATTTTGCTTTAGCAAGACAAAAAAAAAATTGAAACACATAAGTCATCTAGTTTGATTTAAAGTTGTATTTGTTATTAGGATCTCAATTAGTTGTCCAAAAGCAGCAACTAGTCTTCCTGGGGTCCAGCGCCCCAGAAAATACATGAGAACTGTTAAAAAAAAGAATAAAAGTAACAGTATACACTAAAAATATAATAAAAGCGGGAAAAAAAAGATAAAACAACAATGAAACTTTCAGTAAGAAATAAAAACATACATTAAAAAAAAACAAGGTTTCGAATTTTGGTAGTTATGGGTTACAGTTATTTAAAACTCCACATTCAGTTCTCAGAGTTATGTTATTAATGTTAACTAGGATTAATTTATATATACATTCTTTTAATTTAGTAAAGTTGTGTCAGGATGTAAGGGATAAGCACCCATTACATCCTGAAGGGCCTTACTCCTATCAAAAGTTGTCCAGGGTTGCCTCACTTTCTAGATCTTTATATTAGTAGCTTGCTTTTTAAGTTCTATTTCCTAAATATATATATTGTAAATTCTATATATTATAAACAATTTGTTATTGGATGTTTAAATGGCAGGGAAAAAGGAATCATCATCTTCAAATTGGTTATAGAGCAAAGCACTTTTAAAAGTTTCCTTTTCTTGAACACCTCAGATGCCACATGGTCTGACTGGAAGCCATCTACTGATACATCAGTTGTTGCAAAGGGAGCCCTCACAATGTGTGCATTCAATTTGCACTCCAATGTTTTGTTTCTGTTTAAAAACTCCTTTTCCCACTAGGATGCAATATTTCATATCTTCTAACAAATATTTTGGGTTTTCCTTTATTGGATGTCCTGATCCTCAAAAGTAAAAAAGAAAAGCTTCACATTTGAACACATTGCAATACATGAACTATATACTGTGTTCTAACTTATAAAGATATACCTGCAGCAGCTGGCACATAGATGTTGAGTAATTTATGTTTTCTAATCTTCAGTCCAGCCTTTTTTTAACATTCCTTCTCATCTTCAGCCCTCTGCTGGTGGATATTGGGTACTGCATCTCATCTCTGATACAGAGCTTTAACAGCCCAATTGTACTGGTTCAGAACATTTATTTTTTTCTTTCCTTAGTTTCCTTTGGATTGGCTCCAATGGGGCTATATTAATAAACAAAGGCTGGTTGAACAAATTAAAAATTCCTCCTGTCGTTGACTCCCCCCAAAACACAAAGTTTTAACCTTGCTGCAGTGTTAAGGCTGTAGTTGGCCAGACAAAGCCTTGCTTGGTTATCTGGGCTAATGCTGCTAGTCTTATTGTGGATTAGTGCTGGCCGAACAGAGCTTTGTCACCTGGCTGCCTTCACTAAAGGAAGAAACAATCTGCCATTACAGCCAAGACCTTCCAACCTTTCTAGACTTTTATTAAGCCTGATATAAAAAATATGATTTGATGCATTTCTCACGAGGTGTACGTTTAGGTTATTTTTATTTTGGATACTTGCCAATTAGAATATTTTGGCCAATTCCCCAATGAGCATTTGTGGAGAGTTACTTCCATGGTTGCATGAATAAATTCCCTCTGGCCAACTACAGAGAAACCACATGCAATGTGTTGCTAATATTCTGGTATTTTTCTTAGCAAATATTTGTTCCTTCTTTTCATCAGAGATGAGAGCAGTCATTTAAACGTTTTCGTTTTCCCCACAGACCTTTTAGCCTGATGTTAGGGCTGCAGCTTTTGATTTTAACAGGTTAAACATATATGTTGAAGTATTTGGAGGTGGGCATCTCCTCAGCATGATGCTGCCACTATTGTACTTTACTGTTGGTATAGTTATTGTTTATACAGGCCTTGTTATGTGACCAAATAGATCCTTCCAGTCTTTGGAAGTAAATTTGCTTTTTCATTTAGGTAGTCTGCAAGCAGGGGATCTATAAAAAAAAATAATAATAATAATAATCGATACCCCCGTCTGTATCTATGTTACTGTATGTTACCTTGTGGTTTATTATAAGCCTTCATCCTTTGTAGCTAAGTAGCTTAGCATCCTTACTAATGGGTTTGGGTGCAATGGTTTAAACTTGGACAAAACTAGAAGTTCCAATAAAAAAAAAGTACCTACACTGGTTTTGGGATGGATACTAAAACGCTCTTGGAAATGGTGTTCAAATTCTCTGACGCCAGCTGAAGTTAGGTCTTTGCTTCAAATTTATCTCTATTCGGAAACCCGGAAGGCCAGATATAAGCTAGCGTTATTACAGAATGTTGATGATGGCTCTAAAACGTGACAAGTTTCCCAGCAAAGGATATTTATTAGTGGGTGTGCATGCATATAAATGAGCCAGTATTGATTATTTCCTTAAAGAAAATCTCTATACTTTGGACTTCTTGAAATATCTGCAGCATAAATAAAATATATGCATTTTGGAGACCACCTTGAAAACAACTAAACATGTAAACAAACAAAGAAACAATAAAAACAGAACATAGAAATTTTCAGTAAAAGATTAATCATTTATTTTTTTATTTCATCACATTGCTCTACAAATGAGCAACAGTTAAAAGGTTTGGCACTTGACCCTCTAACACTAATTGTAATTTTCTGCTAAAACATTCATGACAAATATAGTTTCTATTAGATTTTTTTTTTCCTCCTCTCTAACCCTGTTAAGGCTATACAGTGTGGTCTCTCGTAGGGACTCTTTATGATGCAGGACAACAGAGTCAGAAACGAAAACGGCGATCACTTGTGAATATATCAAAGATTATCTGTGCAAATACCTCAATTTGAGATAGGACATGAATCTAACACACCTGCTAGTTCAAGAAAGCATTGCATAATTAAAAAAAGTGATTAAAAAGAACCGCTTTTTACATCAGTTATCAACATGATCCTCATTTAAGTTACATTTTGTTAAAAAAACAAAACAAATCAAGGTAGAATTAACAGTGTTAATAAAACTAGATGAGGTGCATAAGATGTTAAACATTTTACGGGAGGTGCAAAAAAAAAAAAATAAGATAAAAAAATTAATGATGTGATAACAGCCCACTGGAAGGCTGCTCTAATGCCGTTACAAACATGAGACTGTTGTGCTTCTAAGTAGATTACTAATCCTGACCAGCCAAAACAGGCAAATGCATTCTCATGCAAAGAAGACAGGTTTTCATTTACAGAGCGCTGGAATGAGGTGCTTTATGAACGACTTAATTTTACTATTCTAGGACAATTTAAGTACAATTCTATCACTTTTAGATTTTAGGTTATTCTTTTGTTCTAACTGGAGGACAGATGTCATCAACACAGACCAACACTGACACGTATGGCAGTGATACCAGGGTGATCCTGCTGACATGGTTAGACGCTCTCTGAGGTTCTGTAAGGCTCTTTAATGAGTAAGTCCTACATGTGTCCAGACGCCCGATTGATTCTGTACCGATGTTTTTTGTTTTTTTTTTACGTTCACAGTAAGTCTACAGCTTTTGGTCCGAAGTCTTCTCTATGACCTTAGCTTTGACAGCGATGGAAGGGTTTTCGATGTCCGCTTTGCTTTGGACCATCCTCAGCTCCAGCTGAGCTGGACTGGGCTTCTTCCCAGGACCGGCCATCTCTGCAGGGAAAGAGATGCAGTTACAACAAAAAATCTCACATGTTTGGCTCTTTGGAGCTTTCATAAAAAAAAAAAAAAAATCCATCTCAACTTTTTCACATTTTGTCACATCTCAACCAAAACCTATAAATAGTTTGTCTGGATTTTTTTAAACGACAGGGTAAAAGTATAGCATAAATGGGAAGTTTAAAGGAAAAGATCAGCAGTTTTCTACTCATTTTTATAATTAAAGTCTTAATGTGGCAAGAAGCCCTTCTACTCAGACACCAGTAAAAAATAAATCCATTTAAACAAATCTCCCTCAGAAGTCCTGATTATCCATCCATCCATCTTCCTCCGCTTATCCGGGGTCAGGTCGCAGAAAACAAAATTCCTTACGTTAACAATTAACTCTCAGAATAAGTCCAGCTGTTCTTTCTTGGAGAACAGTTTTGATACAAAAGCATCAGAAAGAATAAAAATCTAAACTAGGGTTAGCTTATGAAGCAATGCAAGCTTTATATACATCTCCCAGATATCTTTGTAGTCCATCTTCTGAAAACAGAGGAGGCCACAGCTGCAACCCGACCAAGATACGACCGTCCAAACTCTGCTCCAAGTCAGGGAGAAGACGGATGTGGCTTCATAAAGGGCAACAAACCCTGTTAGAGTTCTACATGAGAGTTGGGAGGAGGTTCGCTTCCAGAGGAACGAATGAAATCAAATCACATTCATGAATTAAGATCATGTTTACATACACCTCAAATCCGACTGAACTGGAGACAATTTCTAAGGAATAATAAGCAGCTTGAGATAAACGCTGAAAGAGGCACAGTTGTTGCTCCATAAAAAGGTGGTTCTGCAAACTATTAACTCATTTGGGCTGAGCGTTATACAGTAAACCCTCGCTATGACGTGGTTCTCCTTTAGCGGCCTAGCAGCTTCATGGATTTCATTGTGTTCTGCATTCTGATTGGCTAAACAGTCTCCACGCATCTTCTCTACCTGTGTGTCATTACATTAGGGTTTCATATACATATGCAAATGTTTTGCCAAATTTAAGTTTGCACCGACAAAGGCACTTGTGGATGGGCCCAAAAGGCAGAGGAAGATGCTAACTATTGTAGAATAAGTTAAACTTCTGGACATTCTTAAGGAGGGTAGAAGCTATGCGGCTGTAGGTCGCCATAACAAAACTAATGAATATTCTGTTTGTTTCATAAAGAAGTAGGAAAATAACATAAGGATGACAGCACCAAAAAGTTTTAATAAGGATGCAAAGAAGGGCTGCAACTGTCTGCAACAAGACCGTGGTTAGGATGGAGGCTGCATTAGCTTTATGGATTAATGAGTGCAGAAGAAAGAACATTACGCTAGATACGAACGTTATCTGCACAAAGCTAGAAAACAGTATCAAACTGACAGCGATGACATTCACGACAGAAGAGGAGGAGGATGCAGATACCATTAATGAGTGCTGTTCACACAGTACCAAGCGCGTTTAATGCTAGCGAGGGCTGGTTTGAAAAATTTAAGAAACAATTTGGACTTAAAAATGTTTCTCTGCATGGAGAGAACGCCTCTGCGAATACGGCTTGAGGAAAAACGTTCGTGAACAATACATTTAAAGCGATCTTTGAGGAAGTGTGATACAAGCCTGAACTAGTTTTTAATAATTACTGTAAAAAAATAAGTTACTACTTCACAGATTTCGCCTATCACACAGGCCGTTTCTCAATTCACAAGTTCTTGTCAAGTCCAGTCTTGGTAAGAACACAGGAAAGTATGGACTTGGGGAGAACGGGAGCATGCAGCATAAATCTGGGTCAACTGTAACAGAAGCGTACTTGTGACGTCACCACATGCTCAGCTCGTCTAGAGCTGCATTTCACCTACGGTTATTAATAGTCTTTAGATAATAAATTCTTTTTTTTTTCATTTAGTGGGGGAATAATGATTAACACAGTCAGATAAACAAAAATCAAATGAATATTTTGCCAAAAATAAAAAAATCTCCATCAGAGCCAGCGGTCATTCACAGGCGGCTATGCCGAGAGAGTCGCTGTTGCAGACGGGCTGCGGTTAGCCTTGGCTGCCATTAGCCTCGTAGGTCTGCTGGTTGCGGCGGTCCTCTCAACTTCGGAGATCTTATTTTAAATTACGCATTAAATCGGTAAATGGACAATATAGTGATGCTTTAAAGTATATTATTAATTCCTCAAATGATCTTAAAACACACTTGTATTGAACAACAGCAACAGAAAAGAGAACTTTTAACTTTCAATGGAGCGCCGCATTGAAAGTTGCTGCTGCCGCAGTGCATGCTGGGACAGCTGGCAATCTCAAGAACGGACAAGTCTGCTCTGATGCATGCTGGGTAAAGAGGACGGGGCGAGAACAACATCCGGGGATTTGGTACGTTCTCGGCAATTGGAACAGTGCTCGGGCTGAGGCTGAAGACGTGTCACGAGCACACAAGCACACGAGAACGTTCAAGAACGCATATTGAGAAACGGCCACATTTTTTTGGAAGATAACCCCCGAAAAACAAGGGTTCACTGTACTGATAAAAAGTCTACCTGTCAGATATTTCCCAGGAAAAAGACAATAATGTGTGTTGGTGTGACCTTACAGAATGTGGAAACATGACAGGTGTTAAAACAATGTTCAGAAAACAGTCAGGAGCCTACCATTGGCATAAGTGATGGTCCTCTTAATGACNGTTAAAACAATGTTCAGAAAACAGTCAGGAGCCTACCATTGGCATAAGTGATGGTCCTCTTAATGACATGGTGCATAACTGAAGCCGTCTTTTCACAGGCAGTCTGAAAAGTAAAAAGCAAAGGTTATGCTGAAATGCAATTTTCCTTTAAAGGAAGTTCTGAACACCTTTAGAACTTGTTCTAAGATTACTGGAGCGTTTGACTGAAGACCGACCCTTACCTTAAGGTCCTTGGGATGATGGTGAGTCCAGGCCAGCAGCATGGCAGCAAACAGATCCCCTGTCCCCACAAACACGGCGTCGACTTTTGGGATGTCCAGGCTGATTTTCTGGCTGGTACTGGTCCCATCTGGGTTCTCTGAGAAAAACAAAAGGTCCCAAAGATCGACCACATTAAAAGACGGAAATGGACTTGCAGGTGCATATTAACTGGAAATAAACAGCGGAAAGTTAAAACAATAAGGAGAAATAAACAAATTTACTTTATTTCTTAGTGATCAAAGTAAAATGAAAAAGCATTCGCCTCTTAGTCGATGATTACAATAGTTATCCTATTCAATCCTTCTGTTTAAAACATTATTAATAGGAAAAGAAATATGAATCACTATGAAATGAATTAACTGGTTTTGGGATCCTTTGCAGCAACCGCCCTTATAGGGAGTTTCTGTTAACCATCAATGAGGCGTTCAAGGCGTGAGTTCAAGTCGAAACATCTATTTAACATTAATATTGAGCTATTCAGAAGCAGATTTACAGGTTTTTTGATTACATTTGTGCTGCTGAATAACTCAGAGCTAACTTTGATTTGTTTAAGCATTAAGACCATTGATGTGAGTGTGACATCATCCAGGGACTCAAACAGTCCATAGATGATGTCACACTCACATCAACTCAAGCAACAAATTCAACAATTCCAGCAAATTAAACACGGTTCCCCTTTAATCAGTTTAAACCTTTAAAAGGAAAACCTTGATGAATATAAGCTGTACAGCACTACATGTTAGTAACACCCAACTGAAATTCTAATAGTTATTAAATAAGCAACATCTACTATCGTCTAAAAACATGGCGGCCATATTGAATCATAAACTCTGAGCTGGTCATTGACAGATTCCAGCCTCCAGCTGGAAAATACTCATGTATTTTATTTTTTCCTGTCTTATTAAACACAAAGTGCAAACTTGTAAATCAGACAGTTTAAACTTGAGATGTGAACAAAACTGTCTCATAAGTGCAAACTTGTTTGTGAAAATTTAAAAATTGAAGCCTCACTCACTCAGACATGCATGAGCTGCATTAACTTCACTGCACAAACCATATTTGCAGCGTTGTCTATAACAACTACAGGGTGTTTGCTGGTCAGCCCCCATTTGTTAATGTCTTCAGTCAACCTATTGGCTATATTTGCAGCTCTCTGGCTTGAAGTAAACTTGCAAAAATGTAAAGGAATCGATTCAAAATCGGGGGGTGGGGGGTTGACTTTCCTGCAGCATGAACAGAGTATAGCTCTCTTCGCTTAAACCAAGTTTAACAAATGGTTGCATCCAAGTGTAGATGTTTGATATCTTTTCACAATTAAATTAAAAAGAACAAAAACATGAGATGAATACAAATAGTTGTGCTGCTTTCAATTTTGAGAAGATATCGTATTTGTCAGCATCTTTTTTTTTTTTGAAAAGCCAGTAAAATATGAACCCCATCAGATTTTTAAATGTGTATTTGCATCAAAAGACAACTTTAGAACATTCTTTAATTAGCGAACAAAGCAAATAGTTCTAAGGGTCTCAAATGGTCCCCGGGGACCACACTTTGGACACCCCTGCTCTACAGGCAATCTCTTTGTATGATTTAACGTGGGATGGTCAAACCAACATAAACATCCCAACACGTTCATTAGAAAGCACTCATCTCTGTTGCTGTGATCAATCTAGAAACAAACAAACAAAAAAAATCAATTTACTTATTTTTTGGCTCCCAAGTGCCACCAAGAACTGGTCCCCATTTTTGGAGCGCAGATCTGTACTGGTGAGGACTACCGTCTCTGGACCCATTTCATGAAGCAAGTCCATCACCTGGAGAACAGAGAAGGAACCTGCTTCCTCAAAGGCTAAAACTGACATTTGAATCCAAATTCAACACGGAGGAAATGTTGCCAATACTCACCTTAACAGCGTCTTCTTCTGTGTTTATTTTCTTCCCAGTTAATAACCTGATAAAACCATAAAGGTGGATCACAAGCTTAAGAAAAGGTGTGTGACAGCAGCTTAAAGTTCACTTACTCTGCTTCAAACTGGTTTGGGGTGAGAATATCTGCCAAAGGAACCACTTTGTTCTTGTAGACGGGCAGCAGATTTTCTGGAACATACTGACAAACAGAAAAAAAACATAACACTGTTAAAAGAGACTAAACATTCACAGATGAAAAACATATTTTAGGCTTTAAATGACCAGATATTTATTGGATCACTTATGCTACAGAGAAAACAGATGGACATTTGATGACAGCTTCTTACCATAGCACCATTGTCTCCCATAACAGGATCACAAACTGGAATAAAAACAACATTTGGCATCACTTAGAGACACGTTTTATTGTTTAAAGCTAGAAAGTCATCCATACCTACCATATACCAAGCTGGGGGAGGCCTTCTTTAGTTCCTGGATAATATCAACCACCACTTCCAAGAAGGATATATCTCTGCTGTAGCCTTAGGGAAATAAAAAAAAACATGACATTTAATTTTATTTATGCCTTAGCTCTAAATGTTTCATGATGAGTGGAAATATTGTTACATGCATGTCGTACTGCACAGACTATAGATTAGTCTATGTGTCCTCAAGAAGTTAAATATTAAAGAAAATCAGAGGTTTAATCATGAATCCTATTGCATCAAATTAAGATAATTTAGTCTTTTAAGAGCTAAAGATGTTTGCTTCAGAGATTTAGAGCAGATTGTTGAGAGCGTAATATCCTTAAACATCCCGTCATACATTCCGTCATGGCCACTTCTTTACATTCAGATATTAAACATGTTGGAATAAAATGTTTATAATTCCACTTTTGCATAAAATGACATATGAGCTTAACTAGTTTAGCGCTTATTTCCCAAGAGGATTTATTTAGAAAATGCTGGAAAGCAGATTGGTTGTCCAGTTAAGCAGTTGTCATTAATGGAGGACAAGTTTTTAAATGTTTCTATAAAAGTGAAATGTGTGGCAAGCATTAGAATTAATTCAAACATTGTTAAAAAAAAAACAAAAATACATTTCCATGAGAAATCAATGAGTAAATTACTGAAAATTTGAACCGGGCCATCAGCTCCGGGGCTAGACTGGGTCCGAAGCCAGCCGGGGATAGAGTGACCCAACCAGAGCCGGTGACGGTATGCTTCTCCCCGCAGGCCTTACTGGGCAGGCCGTTAGCTGTGGCTTCGGGTCAGGTTCGGTGTGCCGTTCCCCGCTGGCTCCTTCCCCCGTCCGCCGGAGTTCTCGGACCAGCCCTGGATCTGATGCCTCGGTTCTGCTGCACTGTAGTCGACCAAAATCCCGGACGACTTTGAAATTCACCCCAGACATTTTTTTAGGTATGAAAAGTAGTACATGATCGGGAAAAGGAGGACATCTGGTCACATTTAATCAACAAAACCTTTGTGACCCATGCTGTACCTCCGTGGACCCCTAGGGGTCACGGACCCCTTGTTCGATCTCCTGACCTCCGATCTACTGAACTGTCTCCAACCAAACCTGTAGGGGGAGCTCTACATATAGCCCCTTGAGTAGGGACAAAGAAGAAGAATGCTAGCTCCTGTTAGCATGTTGGCTCGCAGCAGTAAGAGCTTCTACTGAAAGATGGGGCTACATCGGCTGTTTATTTTAGCTCTGGTGGGGTTGGGTCCAGTCTTTTCACTGGTTTGGAAGCTTTAATGTGGCAAATAAATGTCATAAAGTGTGAATTTGCAACATTTGTTCTTGCCTGCTGCTAGCATGTTCTTATGCTAAATGATAATTAGCCCCTTACTCTTTCATTTCCAAATTTGACTTCTCCCTCTGGTGGTTAGAAAAAAAGAAAAGAAAAAAGTCACAGAAAAGCCTCGCCTTCTTATAAGCTGCACGGTTCAAAGCATGGGAAAAAAGTAGCGGCTTATAGTCCTGAAAATACCGTACTTTAATCTTGCAGCATAAACTAGTTTACATAATGTCTACCATCATCTTAAACCCACCTGTTAGAATATAGTCATACTGGTTGACCTTGTTGAGCTTGATGCCTTCATAGAGCACGTTCAGCTCCTCGGCGGTCAGCACCTGTCCCTTCCAGTGGGCATAGCCTGAGCAAAAAACGCAAAGGTCAAAGGTCAGTGTCCTGAAAGCTATCTGGACTTGATTGAAACCAAAACGAAACAGGAAGATGCCCCCCCAAAATGAATAAATGTTGAAGGTGAGACATTTTTTTTTAGCTAAATGTTAACAGAACTTATTAAAGAAGGAAAAAACAACAACATTTTATTTAAATAGATAACCCTCCCCCCATTTGCTCTGCGTCTAGTCTCAATCTCTTTGTGCCAACAGGGGCCTCCACACTGACTGAATGGGAACCTTGTATTCTGGAAGCCTACTCCCTCTTCCTTTTGTTTCCTGTTCACCACTAACCTGGAATAAATCCCAAAGAAGCTGCTCTGACTGCTAATGATGACAGACGCACATTTCTAGTTTCCTGCACCCCAAAGTACCACTGAACAGTAAATGCACCTCTATAAGGAAAGATCACTGCAAAGCAGAAACTTGCACCATGGCTGCATCATTTACACACATCTGGAAGAAGTATGAAGATTACAGCTCAATGATTGATCACAAAACCTTCTAAACACGTTTTTTGTTTTCCAAGTAACTCCAATGTAAATGTCTTCCAATCCTTGGGAGGAGGTGCATTCTTCACATATTCTGGCACATGACGCTCAGAAAATAATCTCATCATCTCTGCATGCGTCCTGAGCTGTTTTACTTGCACAAGGCTGTAGCTTTCCTTCCTTTCAGCAACATTTTAATACCCATTTCACTACACTGCATTTTTAGTTTTTCAGATGAAAATGCATAATAGTTTTAGTCACAATTTAGTCATTTCATATGTGAGGGTTTTAGTCAAAAATAAAACTCTGTTTTTGTCCCGTTTTAGATTTATTTAAATGTATTCTATCTGTAAATTACCTGCATATGAATTACACCTCCTATAAAAGTCAGCAAGAGAAGACAAAACAGGTATACTGCATATCTATGGTATTTTGTTTAAAAACGTGTGAATATATTATGCATCATCATTTGTTAAAACACATTGACTAAAAACCTGGTTTTTATTGATTTGACTATTCTGCTCAACTTATTTAAAGTCTAAAATAACTATATTTAGCAAGAAAAAAACATTTTTTTTACTTGAACACTGGCAAAAATCGAAATCTAGTGCATTTGTTCATTTGTTCTTGATTTGAGGAGGTAAAAGAGACATTTTGCCAATATAACCAGAAAATTTATATTTAAAATAAGTAAACACAATTGCGTTGTCTTATTTCAAGTGCAAATTATTTAAATATCTTATTTTAAGAGTAAAAATACTCATACCATTGGCAAACTATCATTAACCTACTCAAGTTAAGGGTAAATGCACTTAATTCAAGACATTTTTATTTATTTTTAGGTAGTTTTTCCCAGTGAAGCAAAAAGTTGATACAGCAGAAGAAATAAAAATTTAATCAGGCAATCATCTCACCCTCCTCACTTTTTCAGTCTGTATACTTAGTAGGTACCAGATCTGCTCATATGGCAACGCCACTCGGACAAACTGAATTGAATCCGTTTCTTACGGATCGAATCTCTTTTGGAGTTTCGACATATTATTACCTATACTTGCTATTATTTTACATTTCATTGGTGATCTAAAGTAACCAAAAGTAGAAAACAATCATTGTCAGTACTGCCTTATAAGACAGACTGAGCTCTGCCATTTGACAAGGAGACACCAAAAGCTTTTATTCTTTTTTATTAAGATCTGAGGGAAGGGAAGAGCAAATGGAACATCCTAAAAAATAACTTTCGTAGAGATTTTAGATGAAGAAAAAACAGTCTACTTGTAGAATACGAACTGTTGTTGATACAAATTCAAAAGTAGTGTAGCTTAATATGGCTAACTGACTGAGCTAAAAGAAGCTAACTTGTTAGCTACTGAGCACAGCTAGCCACAGCGCTACCCAGCTCCTTTATACCATGGTCTAACAGTTAGTTTGTTCACCATAAACAGATTTTTTTTCAGTTTTGCTATCGATCAGGTAAAACTTCATCAGTCATTAGACACGTTAACGGACGCTGTGTGATGTTATTATTGTTGTCTGGGCAACCACTATGTTTTACATCATGTAGCATAATGTTACTGTCATGCAAAGGACCTGAGCAGATCTGGTACCTACACCGGCATATTGGCTCATTTTTCTGACAGTAGGAAAGGGGGTATGAGACAGGGGAGAGACATTCGGCCAAGGACTACATTGGATTCGAACCCGGGACTAAACCGCAGATTATACTTCTGCAACCGAACACATCAATTGTCCCTTGGGTCTGGTCAAGAACCAGTTTTGTTGTAATCCTTCTGTAATGCTTCTGCACCGTCGGTCTGGAATTTCTAGGGACGCACAGCAGTTTCCCGCCAAAGCACAAAGGGGGAGCCTATTGGAGAACTCGCGATAACACACTTTGGGATCCCGCTCAAGGATCTGGCTGATCTCCCTCCAGGAGTTGGGACCTTGGCATCTTTATATAATTTGTCTGAAGCATCGTACAAGTGGTTGTACTTCCGAACCTCCTCGATGAACCTTTCGTCATAGTTGTCCATTGTAGTTGTTCCTCGCTTTTTAAAAACGGTGCGCCCTGGCACTGAATCGAGAAGGACGACCACACAGACAGTTGGAACGGCATACCAAGGACCAATCACAGCTGCTTTTTGTCTGCGCACTCTTCCACTTGAGGTCTGTGCGTGTTTGCGGCCGTTTAAGGGTGGTGCGCACTAACCACTGCGCCACCTGCACACCCATCATTATCCTAACAGATCTGTCTGTCTGTTCCCCTCTCACTGACTCCTCTCAATTATCAAACACTCAGAGGCCAGAAACTCAGTGTTCATAAATCACAGTAATAAATAAATTCTTAAACTGCCCATAACTAGAGCTGAAAATATACACT